TTTCACCATCCCATAGACAGCAGGTCCTATTTCTCTAAGGACCCTTGAAAACTGACTTTACTTTTATTTTCTCGAACCCCTCCATCACATCTTTCAATATGTGTTCTTTACTGGTATTAATGCTTGAATATCAGCTATACTGACCCAAACAAGGACATTCTTGTGATTTTGGAACTGAGATTATCAATTCCCTCTAACAGGGAATAAATGGTTAAGCTCTGATTTGGGAAATCCATTTGTGAACACTCTAGAATTTAGTCTCTATTTCTGCTTTTCATCCCTGAGAGAGATGCCACCGATCTGTGAGTGGCTGGGTGGGGGTGGGAGATGACACCTCGTTGCAGTGCTTGTCCTTTTCTGCAGAGCTTTATTTTGATATTTTCACACTGCTCAGAGAGAATTCCACCCAAAGGTCCTCAAGTGCCATGAAAAGGACAAGGAAAGAGCATCTTTGAACAGTGGTATTGTTAAATGCCAAGAGCCTGCCTCTCCAGTGGATAATTTTGAGATATTCTGAAACACTTTTCAAAGGCTTTGCTAAGTACTCATTGTGGAAAAGGACAAATCCTATATTAAACTCGCACTGGGATCAGAGATGGCCTTGGGTAAAATTGTGAACTCGATGATGTTTGTAGTCCTCTTTTTATTGCCTTTTCCTCCATCAGCGGACGCTCCAGCCCTTTCTCCCTGTACATCCTCGAGGCTTTTGGGGGGTCTTTCCTCCCCCTTTTTGCCTTATATGATTGAGTGCCAGGAAAAGATATACATCAGTAACTTAGATCTTGGTGTTCTTCCTCTTGGATTTTGCTTCTCCTGCAGGCTTTTTAAATGGAGCTGCTTATTCTTCCATACCCCACAGCCTTTTAACTGCTTCTTAGCCTCCAGTGTGGCCGTCCTCCAGTTCACTCTCCACGCTGCAGTCAGTGGGGGACACTTTATCTGGCATTTGCCTACCAGCCAGCCTTAGCTTTTGCCGTAACTTGCCTTGTTCTCTATCCTCTGGCCAAATCGAACTGCTCTTACTTCCTCAAACCACCGTGTTCTCAGGCCCCAAGCTTTGGCTGACGGTGCCCTCTGCATGGAACAATCTTCCTTACCGCCTTCCTTTGTCCCTTGCTCATTCCAAACATCTCAGTTTAGGGGACCAACTCCAGGAAACCTTCCCTAGCCCTCCTCATTCAGGTTAGTGATCCTCATAAGTAATTTTTAGTACTAATCCCATTATAATGTAAATACTTAAATATTTTTCTTTTTCCTCACCCTGTTTGGGATTTCGATTGGGGTGGCTCTGCCCACAGTAATGTCCCATTTTCCGGGAGGAGGCCTGTGTGCGGGGTGGTGGTAGGTGATGGTAGTAGCAATGCCAGTGGTATGGGGCTAGTCCCCAGTGGGACCTTATGACCTATGTGTTGGTAAAAAACACGACATGAATGAATGATAGGATGAATTTAGATCAACACACAACTTCTCCCAGGATTGCATTTTAGTCCCTAATCTCCTCCCCCACACAAACAGGCTAGAAATTCCATTTTATACAGTTTAATAATAAATTTATATCAAAACTTTTAATGAATGCTTTTCATAGTTGAGGTGCTATGCTTGGAACCCAAGGGGCACATAAGGATGAATAATACACAGTCTTAGTCCTTAAGAAAGTTAAAAATCTATCACACTTAAGGTTAGAAATACCCTTTTTAAAAATAAACACACACATATGTCTTTACGAGGTTGAAAAGGTTAAAATGTTTTTTAAAATTTTGACTTAATCTTGTTTTTGAAAGCTGATGAATGTGGAGAGGAAACACCCTTAGCTTTTTAGCACCTACTATGTGCCAAGGACCATGTTTTATCATTTAATATCCAACATCTGACCCCTTCTTATTGTGAAATGAAAGCATCTGTCTCTTACTAAAGATATCTTGGAACCATTGTGTACCATGTTTCCCTGAAAATAAGACCCAACCCATAAAATAAGCCCTAGCAGGATTTCTAAGCATTTGTACAATATAAGCCCTACCCAGAAAATAAGACCTAGTGATGGGTGTGGCTACACAGCATAACTGCACAACCCATGCATTTCGTTGCAGAGCAGTAAAGAAGACGAGCAGCCCTTTTCATCTGCCCCATCATGACAGCTACTATCCCAGAGGTGACCTGAAAGGTGTGGGCAGCCCCACCAACAAGGTCAGCTCTTCCTGTCAGGTCCCGGCCATCCTGTGCATGCTGCAAGCTGAGGCTTTCAGGGGAAAATAACACATCCCCTGAAAATAAGCCTTAGGGTGTCTTCTTGAGGAAAAATAAATATAAGACCCTGTCTTATTTTCGGGGAAACACGGTAGCTGCAGGAAGTTGAAGTTTTTCCCCTGTACTTGAAACAATATCAGGTACTTTATTTCTTGACTTATCCACATACAAATAAATAACCTCAAATGAAAAACATTTGAATAAAGAATTACTCACTAGTTCAGTTGTAAACAGATACAAGACAACAGGTATTTATTAGGAACCTCTTACGTGGCCAGGACAATGCTAGGTACTACAACTTAGGGAACAAATGGAACTGTACAAATCACAGTGCACTTATATTTATGGGACTGTGATGTTGCCCACTTCCCAAGCCAAAAGAAAACACAATGACAAGTAGGGGTGATGGAGTAGGAGGGGGGCCACAGTGTTTTTCTGTGGTGTTTGGATAGAGTGGTTATTGTTTAAAAGTTTTCTGTCTTGATCACCCTTTCTTGGTCTTTTGTCTAGGAAAAGCAGGCTTTTGCTGGAGCTTTCTTTTTTGTTTGTGAGCATTGATGTTTCTGGGTCGCCAGCACCCAGTATGGGATACCCGGAGGCAAAAAGAAAAGCAGGGAATTCACTGCTGTGTCATTCTTGGGGTTGAGAGATCCATAAATGCTCTCTCATCTTCTCTCCACCTTTCAGAGTCCTCTTATTTATATATATAAATATATATAATACCCATATATATAATATCCATATATATATAATATCCATATATATATGTGTGTGTATATATATATATATATGATATCCAGAATTTTAGCTGTTCTTAGGAAGAATAGGAAAAAGTGTGTTTACTCCATGTCGTCTCTGCATCTCCTAATATTTGAAGCACCTAAGACAATAATATAGACTATTTAAGATGCTGCCACTTAAACTTTATAAAATGAGACAAATTAGAAAAGAAGAAAAGGACAGTTATTGTGGGAACAAAGCTGGTTGGTTTTCTCCAGGTCATAGCCTTAAGTTCAGATTATTGTTCTTTCTCTCTGTCTTCTTCAAATTTAAATTAAGGTTGGAGAAATAACTGGAGACAATGAACATTATCCTTGCTAATATTTCATGTTCATGTATGATTATACACATTATGATTAAAGAAATGAAAATGGAATCATTTGTTAGCTAGGAAATTACCGAATCCTTATCAAGCCCCTATGAGAATGTTGAAAAAGTAGTGATGAGGAAATTTGTGTTTGAAGTCACATACTTTCCATGTGTTAATTATAATCAGTAACTTTCATATGTACACAATGTTTACATCTCTTGAATGTTAAAATATTTTGAAATAGGCAGTGATGTATGTGCTTACTAACAGTGTCCCACTGTGTGACAAGGTCACCAGTTGGCCGTAGCATTGTGCTGTATGGTCACTTTAACTGAAATCCTGTTGGGGTAGGGGGAGGGACTCATCACGGTAGAATAGAATCTGATGTTCGAATACAGTAGGTTAATTTTGGAGTTGTATTAGAAAATAGAATATGTTACAAAAGTGCAGATTATAAAATACATCAGAACTGCCAACATTGTAACTGTTTCAAAGTTACAGGGTGAGGCAGAGATTATCTGACTTTTCATTTCCTGGAAGATGTATAAAAGACGAAACAGAGGCAGAGAAACACAATGCTGGTGGGTTTAGTGCATTGGTTGCAAAATGTTTGGAAACTAATTATGAATATTTGCTGCGTCAAGCCATATGCTCAAAGACTAACTTGTATTTTTCATTACCAATAAATATATTATTTAGAGTCTATTATTGAAGTACCCTGTATTTGACTATAATGTTTAATAGGTAAAAGATGATAGGCTGTCTCTAAAATATTTTTTCTTTACATTTTTATCTAACAAAAGGACTTCATAAATACAGCCTTTTCTCACACAATAAGCAAAGTGAAATTGTTTCTTTACTTTTGGAATAATATGAGTAAAACCTCCAGGTAAAAGTAATTAGAACATATAGAATGCAAGGAAATTAATCTGATTATTAATATTTGCTTAATGTTACAAACAATTGGTGTTGATTACCAATGATATATTAAATATATATTATAGTCCCTAAACAAAGCAGGAGAAAATGAAAATCTGATGGTCTAAACTGTGATAGGCAGTTGGGGAAGAGCTTTGGAACAGGTGTAATTTAAAAGAAATAAATACTCAAAGAAGGACAAAGGCTCAGCATTCCTTTTTTATTTTCTATTTGCTAACATAAAAAAATAATCACCGTTAAATTGCCTCACTGAGGCTTTGGGGTCTTGAAATTTCAACTGTAGCATCAAAAGTGCACTGTGTATGTAACACATTTCCCCTTTGAGTTTGAATAACTGACAAAAGAAATGTGAGCATTACATGACTTAAACAGATTGCTTGTTTCATGATAATCCTTGGTCAAAGCTATCACATTTCAGTTCATAAAGATTCCTTTACACACTTTTCAAATGCTCTTGTGGCTGATGAAGGTATTCAAGAGATTACAATGAGGGAAAACCAAGTCTCTTTTAGTCACAGTCCAATCAGAGAATGGGTCCTGTGTTAGTTATCTCATGCTGTGTAACAAGTTACCCCAAAACTTAACTGCTTAAAATTACAAATATTTATTATCTCATACAGTTTTTGAAGATCCGGAATCATGATGATGCAGTCAAACTGTTGATCAGGGCTGCAATCAACTGATAGTTAAACCGGGGAAGGATCTATTTCCAAGCTTACTCATGTGATTGCTTGCAGGTTTTTAATACTTGCTGACTATGGACTTGAATCTCAGTTCCTTGCCACATGGACCTCTGCTCAGGCTACCTGAGTATCCTCATGACATGATGGTTGGCTTCCCCAAAAGTGAGTGACCTGAGGGAAAGAGAGAGCCCAAGAAAGAATCTACAGCTATTTATAACCTAATCTCAGAAGTGATATGCCATCACTTCTGCTTTATTTTACTGGTAAACCAGACAAACCATGGTACAATATAGGAGGGGACAACACCACATTGTGAATACGTGGGGACCAACTTGGAAGCTGTATGCCACAGTTCTATAGCAAATGTGCAACGTGGATTTACTTAGAACTTGTCTTAAGGCATACCTCCTCTAATGGTCACGGTCTATTATTGGGAAGAAATTACTAGTGACTATTCACACAGATTGCAGGAGTCAAATGAAGAGTTGCTGACACTTTTCTCCCAATGTTGTACAACCTTTCCATAACCTGAGTATACTAAGTGTAGTAAGCAATAACAATTCAACTCTTAGTTACACTTTTTATGGGCACCAAGGTCCAAATTTAATTTAAAAAATATGCAGATCTACAGTATAGCCCTGAGACTGTATTATATATAATAAGGTAAAATAAAACAGTATGCTGTCACAGCAAGTTAGGTGATTACAAATCCTATGCATTTAGGAGTAAAGACTTAAAGCCTGACTATGAAAAAGATGAGAAACAAGAGACCTTTACGCTTTCTTATTTCCCAGCTTGAATAATTTAATTGGATTTTATAATATCAATAGGAATCAATGACTTAGCTTCTCTACTTTGGGTGAAAGATAAGTCACTTGGAATATTTCTGGTAGTAAATTGCCAGGTAGATAGATATAACCATTACAAATTACCATATAAACTTCTCGGATTTTTGTAAAAGAAATTTCTAATAGTTTTCAACTTAGGAAAGTTTTCTAAAGGGTGTCATATAAATCAGCTTCCTGAAACTCACAAACCATAAGGTACCAGACCCAGGCAAATCAAATACAGAGTGGTAGGGCATAAATAGCTCTACTGCACTTAGATGCACACATAAATAAATTCACAGCCATTTGTAAACCTAATAGGATTTTTAATCATCAAATAACTTAACCATCTGGTTAGGTCAAAGACCTACTGCAAGCTAGAAAGGCTGTTTAAAAGGCAGAGTTGTGGCAATAGATGACTTCTTCCCTTTTCTAACCTCCAGGTAATCTGTGCTTACATCTACCCTCAGCCTTAGCTAGGTGAGGTATGCCCAAGATGCCCTGTCCTTCAGGGAAGGGACGGAATTATTGCAGGCCAAGAGATGGTGATTTCTGCCTGAAGGGGAAAAGGAGCCTGGCTGGTATTGGCATGCTGACTTGACTTTAGCAGTAGTTTTTCCATCTTGGCTGCGTATTAGAATCATTCTCTGGAAGGGGATTTAGGCACCAAACTGTTTTGAAGCTCCCCAGGTGATTTTAATGTGCATCCAAAGCTGAGAATCCTTGATTTAGGACAGCAGGTCTCATTTTAGCGCCCATCGGAATCACCTGGAGAGCATGTGAAAGTTACAAATGCTGGGACCCCTCCTCCAGCTTCTGATTCTGGGGTGAGACCCAACATTTGCATGCTTAACAAGTTCCCAGATGACACTGATGCTGCCGTGCCACTCTTGGAGAACCAGTCTTAGAAGAGTCTCGCTCTTGTTGTATTTTTAGATAACAAAAAATGTAGCTCAGCTGTAAGTAAGGGGAGGAATGAAAATTGGTAAAGGGAGAAGACAGATACCTCTAGTCTACCTTCTTTCGTCTCCTCACCCCCTTCAGAGCTTAAGTGGGACTGGGAGCTACCACAGCATCGCCCCTCCCCTGCCTTCTCAGTCTTTATTTCACAGACTGAGGAAGTACAGGCCGGTCAAGGGTCATGGGACGGGCCCAAAGCGGGTCTCTGTGCTCACGCAGGCCACCCCCTTCTCCGCCCTGGCACGGAGTCTTCCGTTAATCCCGCTCCATTCAGTAATCGTCCTCACCTGCCCTGACACGCCTCTGGCGCCCTCCGTGGCGGCGCGTGCAACGTGCATCGCCGTTCAAAACGCGCCCCACGCGTCCCCGCAGCGAGCGCCCCGCGAGCCGTGCGGGCGGAGGCCGGCGCTGGGAGCTGCTGTCATGGCCTGCGTGAACCCGGTGGTAAGGAGGACCGCAGGCTTTCCGTGGTGGGGGCGCTCTGGGACTCCACTTCGTGGCAGCGGAACCCTGGACACCCCTTGGTTCCCCCTGAGGCTTAAGGGACTTTCATAAAAACTGGGGCTCTTTCTCGCCTTTGTGTAGGAGAAAACCGAAAGGGGCCAGTAGTTCAGCCGGAAGTTGGGCCTGGCCCCACCGGAAGAAGAGGCGTCCTTTCTCCTCTACCTTGGGGTGTTTAGAGGCAGAGCCCACCCTTGGCACTGATAGTTTCCTGTGTGTTTAGAAAATTCTCGAGTTCACTTGTATTATTTAGTATGGGAATTGGTGATTGTAAGCTTTTTTTACTAACCTGAAATAACAAGTAACATATTTCATGTTGCCACACCACATATTTTTAGTGTCTTCTCCTACCCTTCCATTTCTTCATCCTTTAGCATCTTAATGCTTAAGTGTACAACCCACATACATTATCCTCATACTCCGAATGGGTTCCCGAACCTCACAGTGAGAATTTACAGGCTACATTGCACTTATGATCCCATCAATCTTAAAACTCGAATTAAAGAAAAATAATCAAGGATTTTTCTTATTATCAATTCATCTCAACAGACTTCACGTTTTGTGAAAGGCAGTGTGTTTGTCCAGATCTGTGTAATTTTATGGGTTCCATATGCAGCATAAAAAGGTCAATTTTTAGAGGCATACTACTGAAATGTATATCCATTTTATGATAATGTGTTAAGATATGTAAAATATGTATACTGTATTTGAATTTACATTTACCAGGTATACTGATTTACCTGATTGTAAATTCCAAGAAGGGGGTATATTTTCTCTTAAATGAGTTAAGATGAATTTCTGGACTATATATAGTTTTAATAAAGATACTAGAGGGCCGGGTGCTCACGCCTGTAATCCTAGCACTCTCGGAGGCAAGGCGGGTAGATTGATCAAGGTCCAGAGTTTGAAACTAGTCTGAGCAAGAGTGACACCCGTCTCTATTAAAAATTAATTGGCCAACTAAAAATACATAGAAAAAAAAAATTAGCCAGGCATGGTGGTGCATGCCTATAGTCCTAGCTACTCAGGAGGCTGAGGCAGGAGGATCGCTTGAGCCCAGGAGTTTGAGGTTGCTGTGAGCTAGGCTGACACCATGGCACTCTAGCCCAGGCAACAAAGCCAGACTGTCTCAAAAATAAATAAATAATAAATAAATAAAATAGAGAAAGCAGTATAAGGCCTGACTATAGTCCTAGAAGAGAAACTATGTTCAATACCTATTTTTATTTTGAAAAATTGTGCTTTAATGGGTTCTTTTTGACTACTGCTGTTTTATACTCTGAGGGCAGATCTTAAAGATGTTTTTAGCCCTAGGAGTTTTTTCCTCTAGCTTTAAGTGTGATCACACTAGCTGAGACTAACACTGAAGCATCAATTTAGTATTCCTTTATCAGGGTAAACTGAGAAGAAGCAACTAATTTAGGTGCACTTAGTTTTAATGCAGGTGCTTGTGAGTAACATTTAAATGTTACTGATTGGCCTATTCATAGGCATACTCTGGATCTTTACAAGGATTAGTTTAAAATGTAGCTACTCTTGGCAAGAGCAGGGGTATTTACTGGGTAGTGTGAAGAAGCAATTCTATAATAGAATGCCACAATTTTCATTCTGGCCTGATTAAACAATTTGAAATAAGAGGAACTCAACTAAATTCCTGTTTTGCCATTTCTTATTAGTGGAACTTCCACTAGGTCAGTATTGTCAGCACACTTAGGATTGCCATTTTGGACTGGGAGCTGGTGTGAAGCACAATTTACATAGATTCGAAGGACCGTGTGTGTGTGTGTGTGTATGACATGTTCATTGTTTTGTTGATATAGCCAATGTTTAATCTGGTAGAAATCTTAATTTTGTTGTTATGACATGTTTTTACTAGGAAGCATTTTATTTTATTTTATTTATTTTATTTTTTTATTAGATTGGCTACATCTGTGGAATAGGAAGCATTTTAGAATGTTGTTTAGTCTCTGCAATGTGCACATTGTGGAAGGGAAAGGTTTGTTAGTGTCCTTAGTTTCTGTTAGGAAATCCATTTTGCTACAGTTATACTTTTACTTGACAATGGTTCAGAATATTTTTCTGAACTTTGTGTATTTTGGAAGTGGATGGACTTTGGTTACTCTATTATAAGTGCTTACCCCAGTCTTATGGCTTGGAGTTTATTTACATTTGTGGAAATAATATGGTGAACCCTAAAGGCTCTCTTGGCCACTTTGAGAAAAAGGTAAATTGAAAACAGCAGGTCTATTTCCAGCTGCCTTAAATTAATTTCCCTTTTAAAAAGGAGTAGAGAGGCTAAATACTGATACAAAAGCCAAGTAACATAACAATAGCCATACATCTTTATGAGATTGTTAGCTCACATGTTATTGTAGTTTTGTAATTCAGCCTTGTAGATAGGCTGAGACTGTGGGTCTGAAGCTAACACAATTTATAGAAAGCTCAGACTATACTGGGAGTAGGATATACTTAGTAAAAATTTTATGGTGGTTTTCTTTAAACTACAAGATTATAATGTGTAAACCACGTATCTTCAAAGGCTAAATACATTCAAACTTGAGAAATTAAAACTTTAACAATTGTTTTATGTAGCCTAAACTCTATAGATCTGTAATTGAAGATGTAATCGAAGGAGTGCGAGACCTATTTGCTGAAGAAGGTATAGAGGAACAAGTTTTAAAAGACTTGAAGCAGGTTCGTAGACAATACAAGTTTCTCTTTCTGTCTTTTGTTGTTTTTTCATCATAAACTGATATAGTTCTAACCCCTCAATTATAGCTTAGTATTTACCCATTTATTGTGACATTAGCTGCCAATTTTTAAAAAATTTAAAAATTAGTAATAAATATCTTAACTTTTTTTTTTTTCTGTACAGCTCTGGGAGACCAAGGTTTTGCAGTCTAAAGCAACAGAAGACTTCTTTAGAAATAGTGTCCATCCACCTCTGTTCACCCTTCAGCTGCCACACAGCTTGCACCAAACATTGCAATCATCAACAGGTTGGATACAGTTAGAAAATTAGTAGTGATATTTGTATCTTCAGAACAAATTCTCATTTGGTGGTGTTTTTAAATTAGAACAGTGCTGTTAAGGTTGAGAAGGCTTGGACATCAAAATCATTTCCTTTAAATGAACACAATAGAAATCATCACCATGTAATTATTGATTAAAAAAACTCAAGTTATTCAAACCAGTTTTTATGTTAAAGATTAAATTCCACAAAGGTGACAAAGCCTTACGTTAGAGGAACAAATTATATAGTTTGAGGGATACTAGGAGCACCCATTGGTGGTTTCAGTGAATTTGATTGGGTTTAGTCAAGGATTAATCCAGCTGCCATTGCTGAAATTGTAGACAGAAAGGTGAGTGAGTGCTTGCATGTTCGTGCATTCTCTCTCTTACTTTCTGTGTATATTCTAACTCTGTTATTGTATTGGAAGCAAAATGGAGAGTTAACAAGAATATGGAGAATTATTCATGCTACCTCAGTGTTTTGGATATATAAAATGATGGCTAGAAATTGACTGTATGCATTTTATCTTTATTCTTAGATTTATTGAATCTAGACTTCTGCTTTTAAGGGAAATATTTGTCCATATTATGTGTTTCAATCTAAATTGGAAAGGACTAGCTTATAAAAGATAAAAATGATACTATTCTATATTTCAAGCCTCTGTTTCTCCTTTTCTCTGATTCTTACCTTTATGCTACTTATGTATGTATATATGTGTGTACATGTATACACACAAGTAAGTTTTATGAGGTTTAGCTGAAATTCAATAGCATAGTGTCTGCCAGAAGTGAGGGTAGATTTTGGCTTAGATTGTCAATAATAACTAGATGGTTCTTTGCATGCTTGGGAAAATTCACATGAAAATTACATGGGCAGAGGTAAAGAGGAAATAGAAAGGATGCTTAGTACCTTTTCTATTACAAAATGGGAGAATTTGTATGGCAGCAATCATAACTTATAAAAATGAAATAAATTAACACTATTGAATTACCAAACAAGTTTTATTTGATACTGTGCTGCTGTGCTTATCTTACTTCATAAGACTTAGTCATGGCAGTTTTTATTGTTGACACATTAAAACATTTGTCATCAGTTATTGGATTTTGGGCTATGCTTTAATTTTTAATTTTACTATTTATCAGATCATCCCTTTCTCTGTTTAAAGTTCTATTGGATTTATTTTATTTAAGACTGTTAAAAATTTTTTTCTTTTTTAACTTAGGGTTGGTGTGAGAGTGTGGTGGGTATGTGGGAAGAAAAGCATAATTAACACTTCTTAGGTTCTTTGTCATTCAAAATTGCAATACTTGATTTTGCCGCAAGATGGTATTATTACCAGTGATTTAAATCACAAAATAGTCTTGCAACTAATATATCTAGCTGGTTTTTACTTAGCACCTTATTCTTAGCCTGTGTCTTAGAAGTTAGAATAATAGAAATAATTATATTTAAGACAGTTTTTCTTCTTATTCTCTTCTGTGTCATTTATAATGAAGAGGATTAAGAAGTACATGTATCCTTTAAAAGTGCATTATAGACCTGTGCCTCTCTCCCTTCATTTCTAGGTACTGCACGATAAGATTCTTGAAATAAATAGCCTCATAAAATTGAAGTACTTCTTAATTATATCTTTTCATGGTATGCTTTTAAAAGCCTGATTAAAATAAACTTGTTTCTTCAACCTTTTTTAATCTTTTTTGATAACAAGTTCAAATTAAATCCACAATTGAATAAGTCATTTGCTTTTGTCTATTCCAACTTAAAACTTGTTTGCTCTACCATATTTTCTTTGTATTGTCCATTTGTTTAGTAAAATCAGTATCTTCAGTTCTCAACGTTTTTTGGTCTCAGGACCTCTTTAT